TGCTGGGCCAGCAGAGAAATGGAGCTTGGGCCCATAAGGTGCATAACCTGGTGGGTGGAGCTTGGTTCTTTGTCTCCCTCTAATGGCTGGACCACATACACCAGTCGATGGGTCTGCTGCTGCTAAGAGCAGTGGCACTTGCTTCTTTAGCTCATGGATTGAGAATATGAGGCTCCAGGTTCAGAGCCCACAGGTGATCTATCCACGGACATCATGGTTCTTGTGAGTTGGGTGCATTAGGAGCAGCGAGGAAAGTTCGGCATCCTCCAAGGAGCTACCTGGGAACTACATTTGCAATAGGGGCCAGAATGAATCAAGGGAGTCATTTGCTTTTCTCTCCCCTCCTACGGCGTTGTGCCCCTCCTGGGTAACCTGTGGGGTGGGGGGCTGGGAGCAGCTGTCCCCACCCACACTGATGAGCAGGTGCAGGGGAGATCCAACTTGCCTGGCTCACCCAACTCCTCGCTGTGCTGTGTAACATGCCAGTCAGTCCTTGCAGTGTCACTCTCCTCTCCTTGCAGCGAACAAGTGAGAGATGTCATTTGTGTTACTGCTGGTCAAGAGCTGGGGCTTTGCTCCTGATGGGGCGGACGGTGCCAGAGCTGGCCACCTCTGAGCGTTGCTCACTCGGGCTGTCAGGGGATGGGGTGGGGGGTGGAGAGGCAGGAGGATGGGGGTGGCTGCAGCTGGCCCTTTTCTGTCTTGAAGTGCCCCTTATGTGAGCTTGTGAGGCACCATTAGCAATGCAAACTCTAAGCACCCAGGGGCTGCTGTGGCCTAGTGGGAAGAACACAGCACTGGGAGGGGCTGGTTTCTGCTCCTTACTCTGCCACTGATCTGTGGCATGGCTGTGGGCATGTCTCTTAGGCCTAGCCTGTGCTGTGTCAGCAGAGTGGGGCTCTGCTTGGCTCTGAGTCTGTTGTGATTCCTCCCCTTCCCTCTGCAAGCAAACGGCCAGGGAGGGGTGGTGAGAGAGTGGAGCCTTCCTCTTTCCACCAGCTGGAGGTGCTGGCCTGGCACCAGGGGGGAGGGGAGTCGCACCACTCCGAGCGCTGCAAAGCCTCCGAAGCATGGCGGCCCTCTGGCCAGGTGAAGTGCTGGACCACGGCTCTGTATGGTTGGGCCCCTGTGATGGGGTGTCCACCTACCCAGGACTAGAAGGGGTTAAGGGGCCAGGTAGGCCTATTAACTCCACAGGCTGCACCTGAAGGGAGAGCCAGGGAGCAGGGAATTGATGGCAAGCAGACTCAGCTGGGCAGGAACAGGCAGGACCTATAAAGCCAGAAAGCTGGCACCAGACACAGGCAGCAGTTTCTCCCAGGGAAGAAGGAGGAGGGTTTGGAGCTGGTACTCTCAGGACAAGGAGGGGAACCAGGAGTGGTAGGAAACAGTCCAGGAAAGGAGCAGTGAGGGATGGAGGAGGAAGCCTAGAACTGCTGGGTGGAGGATCCCTGGACTGGACCCAGAGTATAGTATGGGTCGGTTTCCCCTACCAGCCACTGAAGGAGTGGTACCTGAGGCAGTGAATGGGAAGACTGCCTAGGGCTGCTGAAGGAAAGACTTTGATATACCCCGGAAGGGGGAACTCTAAGTGACCTGTTGGAGGAGTGAGATGTGAAGAGGATGCTGCGGCTCCTGGGACAAGAGAGGAGCTGCAGATCTGAGAGAGATGGTGTGCAACTGCAGGAAGGGGCATTGACCTCGAGAGCTAATCCCCAGTGTGACCAGGAGGAGGCGCCAGACAAGTGGTTAGTGGTGTGCTCTGTCCTAGCCTCCCATAATGGTATAGGCCTTGGTACGACTGCACCACTTGCACCATTGTAGCTGCATCACTGCACCATTAAACTGGGGTAACCAAGCAGCTCTGAGATCTGGCAGTGAAAGTGTGTGCACTGTATTATTTAGTAGTCTGTTGGTTCTATGCACTGTCTATGTAGCTGAAGTGGAGGCAATGTAAATTTCACCTCTCCTGAGAGGCCCTTTAATACTTGGATGGAAAATATGCATTTTCATATGGTTATATTTCACAGAAGCCATTCATCTATTTAAAATGTAGGAGACAAGGTACAAAAGACATTTAGTATTGTAGAACCAGCCAAATTTTCATGAGATTTGAGATGTATGGTATGTGACCCAGTCCCAGTTTAAATCTACTCCACTATTGTAAATTCCAATTACATCATGCCACCTATTTTAAATACCGTGAAAACTGACTCATTCCTCAAGTATGTTTTATATATTGCCACATCCATTTGAAATAGATGGGCAGTGCATTTTATGGCACATGTGAAAATCTCTCTCTATTTTTCCATCTGGGGGGTTATAGGATCTTTCAGAATATTAATAATGGGGCTCAGAGGAAATGTTCGACTTGAAGGCAATAGCAGAGATTTATGGCTGGTGCAGAGGATGCCAGTGAAAAGTCTGAAAGAGCCCTCAGAAGACAAAGACCTGTGATTTCATCTCACACTCCCTGCAAGTTAATTTTGTGAAACAGACAAGACTGGAAATTTCCTAGTGTAAGCTGGGTAGGTCATTGGAAAGGGCTTTCTCTTAAAGGTGGTGGACTTTTGCACAGGAACAAAGGAAAGATTGCTATACAAAGCAGCAAACCAGCCAGCATCTGCATTCCCTTTGCCATCATTTCAGATGTTTTGATGTCTGAACTGCACCAACTTCCACCATAGATTGGTGGAATTGAACCCTAGACGTTCATCATCAAGAGCACAAAGCCCTGTTGCGGGAGCTAATGGGACCACTCTGCTGCTGGCTCACTTAGCCCCAATGTGTTACAGAAGCGTGATGCAGCAGCACTGGCTGTTGGTTAGACAGGCTGTGCTGTCACACGGTCAGTGTTTTCACATCCCTGTAGGATGTAAGGAGAGGAGAAGGAGGCTGTGACAGAGTGGATCTTGTGTCCCATTGTGTGTGCTAAAAACCCCATTAAAGTTGGCAGCAGTTTTGGGTGAGACATGGGACACATGAGTCAAGACACTGGTCCCCTGTACTGGTACTGGCAAGCTTCCCGCCAAAGATCGCCCCGGCGCAGGTCACCCTCGCCCAGATGGTCTCCCAGACGTCGGTTCCCACCGGGGTGGGATCACTCCCTGTTGTGCTCCCGGTCTCCATCCCAATGGTACCGCTCATTGGGCAGGCAGCGATCCTCGCCTCACCAGTCGCCAACCAGGGTCAGTCGGCAGACTCAGACCACAATGGCTCCGGCCTGGTCGCTGGAAGGGCAATGGTCCGAGTCGGACCGGGAATTCAGCCCCTCGCCAGGGAGTGATGATTCGCAGCCGACCCATGAAACTGGCATGGCGCCTGCAGCAATGGCATGGCAGCAGGGACAGTGGCATGCTCAATGGCTGTACTGGAACCCGTGGGGAGTGCCCGTTATGCCAATCCCATATTCCCGCCAGTCCTCCCTGGCCACTTTGGACAAACCGCCCCCAGCACTGCCTGCACCGGAGTCGGAACACAGTACCGAATCCAAGATGGGGCAGTGCATTGGACTCCAGCACCTAGGGAGCCGTCCCCAGAGACGGAAGGGGAACCCGCCACTCCCCAGGTGGTGCATTTGTCGTTGTCGTCTCCGGACGAAGCAGTGGCGGGTCCCTCCCAAACGGTCAGCCCCCCTGATGACTTCAAGGAACACCAGGCCCTCCTTAAAAGGGTGGCAACCAACTCAAACTTAAAAATTGAGGCGGTCACGGAGGAGTCCGACGACCCCCTTTAATGTTATATCCTTCTCCACCCCAGCCCGGGTCGCACTGACCGTGCACCCAGGGATCGTTAAGATTGCCAAATCGCTGTGGCAAACCCCCTCTTCCATTCCGCCTACTTCTAAGAAGGCAGGAAAGAAGTATTATCTCCCTGCAAAAGGGTTCAAATATCTGCACTCTCCAGTGGCATCACTGGTTGTGTCTGCTGTTAATGAAAGGGACAGGTGTTGTTAGATGTTCGGCTGCATATGTGTGTTCTCCGTGTGTGCTGCCCCAGCTCTGCACAGACAGCAGACCTCGAACGAACTGCCCAATGACCACAAGATCCGTTAAGGTATGAAGGCACCAGGCCAGGTTTATTGTCGACAAAGCATGATAATAGCACCTGACAGACTCTACGAGGATATTAAGACATGCATGCCTGTGACAATGGATGCAGCTCAGTGAATGAAAGGACTTTCCATTCCCCCCTCGGCTGGACAAAGATACTCCCTCTGAGAAACAACTTTATACTCTGATACAAACAAGTTACGTATTGCCCCTCTGACATAGTCAATTACTGACCCCTGACATGGCTAGTTATTACCCATAACCTTGTACATGTTGGTTCGATCAAAACATCTTTATTCATCACACTGTCATCCTGACCTTATCTTTTAGGAGCTGTCAGTGTGTTCCTGAGGCACCTTTAAGACTAACAGAAGTATTGGGAGCATAAGGTTTTGTGGGTAAGAACCTCACTTCTTCAGATGCAAGTAATGGAAATCTCCAGAGGTAGGTATAAATCAGTATGGAGATAACGAAGTTAGTTCAATCAGGGAGGGAGAGGTGCTCTGCTAGCAGTTGAGGTGTGAACACCAAGGGAGGAGAAACTGCTTCTGTAGTTGGAAAGCCATTCACAGTCTTTGTTTAATCCTGATCTGATGGTATCAAATTTGCAAATGAACTGGAGCTCAGAAGTTTCTCTTTGGAGTCTGCTTTTTACAGATTCAGACTAACATGGCTACCCCTCTGAGAGTGTGTTCCTGTTATCCTTGTTTTTGTACCATCCTTGATATCGGGATGTTCTGGTACCATTCTTCTGGAATGTGTTTGTGTGAGTACTCTGTGCCTAGCACTTCTTAGAAATGTGTGTTTCTGCAATATTAGCCCTGTTCTTGCCAGATTCTGTGAACTTGCAAGCAGGCAGAGCCTGACTTTTGCTAACTTTGCTTTATATCAGCAAAGCTTGCCCACTACTTTAGCTCAGGCCTCATACCAGGCATCTGATACCAGGCCTTATACCAGGCTTATATCTCAGGCTCTTTGCCTACTACAACAGGCAGGGCCAAGTCAGTGGCATGCCGGAAAAAAACAACACCAAGACACTGGACTTATTTGGCAGAAAGATTTATTCAACGGACAGCCTGCAATTCAGGGTGTCCAGGCACTGCTAGGCAGGTACAATTTTAACTGTGGGACTCCCTTAACAAGTTCAAAGAGGCCCTCCCGCAGGACCGAGCCCAGGAGTTCGCCACTTTGGTGGATGAAGGCACGGTGGTGGCAAGGGTGGGCCCTCCAAATGGCCTGGGATGCTACTGACTCAGCAGCCAGGGTGGTCACCTTTGCGGTGGCCATGAGGCACAGCTCCTGGTTGCAGTCTTCTGGGTTATCCCAGGAAATGCAGGCCGCTATTCAGTACCTCCCGTTTGAGGGGGCGGGGCTCTTCTCTGAGCTCACATATTCAAGACTCCATGACCTTAAAGATTCTCATGCCACCTTCCATTCCTTGGGCCTCCACACTCCTCAACAGGCCAGGAAGCCGTTCCACCCTCCACCTCCTCCAGAGTCTAGGTGCTGGGGGACTCCCCGGCTGGGCACCTACAGGAGAAAGGATAGAGACAAGGGGTCTAAGCAGTGACACCCGTCATCTTCCATTCATCTGCTCAGCCTGGCCCTTGCAGGAACCAAGGAGGCCAGAAGCAGTCATTTTGAGGGTGCGCTCAAGGACAATGTCCCTGTCAGTTCCCAGGACCCACCCTCCCACTCTTTCCTCAACTGCCTCTGCCCCTTCCGGTTGGCCTGGTCTTGGTTGACCTCAGACCATTGGATGTTCAAAGTAATATCCTTGGATTACCCCTGAAGTTCATGGCCGACCCTCTCTCCCACCCCCATCCCCATCCCTCTTCACAGACCCTTCTCATGAGCAACTCCTTGTCCAAGAGATTGAGAACCTCCTGCACCTGGGGGCGATGGAGGAGGTCCCTCGAGACATGAAAGGAAAGAGGTTCTGCTTCCACTACATCCTAATCCCAAAAGCAAAAGGGGGCCTCTGATCCATTTTGGACCTATGTTGCCTCAACAAGTCTCTCAAGAAGTTAAAGTTTTGCATGGTCTCCTTGGCCTCCATCATCCTCTCCCTGGATTCGGGAGACTAGTACGCCGCCCTCGACTTGAAGGACACGTAATTCCATATTTCCATTTTCCCAGGGCACAGGTGCTTCCTTAGTTTTACACTGGGCCAATGCCTTTTCCAATTCACGCCGATGCCATTTGGTCTCTCGTCAGCCCCAAGAGTGTTCACCCAGTGCATAGCGCTAGTGGCCGCTTACCTGAGGAGCTGGGGTGTTCAAATGTACCTGTATCTTAACGACTGGCTAATAAAGGGTTGGTCCCAGGATCAGGTGCAGCAGCATCTCGATTTGGTTTATTCCACTGTCATGACCTGGGGCTGTTAATAAATGAGAAAAAGTCTACCTTAATCCTGGTACAACACATAGAATTCATTGGAGCGGTCCTGAACTCTATTCAGGCCAGAGCCTTCCTCCCTGAGGCTTGGTTCCAAGCCATGGCAGACCTCATCTCGTGCATGCAAGCCCACCTTCTTACCGCAGCTCACATATGCCTACAATTGTTGGACCACATGGCGGCCTGCACTTATGTTGTCCATCATGCATGGCTCCACCTCAGGCCCCTGCAGGCGTGGCTGGTGTCGGTCTGCATCCCCAACAAACACAACATGGACCGTGTGGTCAGGGTCCTGGATCATGTACTATCATCACTCACCTGGTGGCAGAATCCTGCATCGGTGTTGGAGAGAGTCCCCTTCACAGCTCTGCTCAGGTTCTGACGGATAATACAGCAGCTATGTTCTCTATCAACAAGCAGGGCCAGATCCTCTGCCCTTTGCCAGGAAGCCCTCTGGCTCTGGACCTACTACATACAACACGGCATCCATCTCATAGCCACTCACCTCCCCAGGGCAAGAAACACTTTGGTAGATCACCTCAGCAGGACCTTCTCATCTTGCCATGAGTGGTCCCTGCATCTGGAAGTGGTCAGCTTCATCTTCCAGAGGTGGAGAACTACCCAGGTTGACCTGTTCGCATCCAGGCAGAACTGGCAATGCCACATTTTCTGCTCAATTCGGGGGACACTTTTCTGCTCCCATGGTTGGGGGCTCTGTTGTACGCCTTCCCTCCAGTGCCGCTAATTCACAGAGTCCTCATGAAAATCAAGCAGGACAGGGCGAAGGTGATCATACTGCTGGTGTGGCTGCACCAGCACTGGTTTGGCATGCTGCTGGACCTCTCGGTGGCTGCTCTGTTACAGCTCCTGCTCAGTCCGGATTTGCTGTCCCAAAACCACAACAGTCTTGTGCATCAGAGCCTGGTGGCACTGCACCTGACAGCTTGGCTGTTGCATGGTTAAATGCGGAGGAGCAGGAGTGCTCGGCTGCTGTCCAGCAGGTCCTGCTGGGCAGCAGAAAGCCCTCCACTAGAGCAACGTACCTGGCCAAATGGAAGCGGTTTGCTTGTTGGACCTTGGGGATAAAGGTATTCAGCCTGAGTGGGCCTCACTGCAGTTGATCCTGGACTACCTTCTACATCTCAAGTGCCAAGGCCTGTCCCTTTCATCTGTCAAGGACCACTTGGCTGCTATTTCGGCCTTCCGTCTGCTGCTCGAGGGCAGGTCGGTTTTCACCCAGGACATGACTGCCAGGTTCCTCAAGGGCCTCAAGCGCCTCTACCTGCACGTCAGGGACCCTGTTCCGCCATGGCACCTGAATCTTGTGCTGTCACAGCTCACGGGACCCCGCTTTGAGCCTCTGACTTCCTGCTCTCTCCTTCTGTCCGGGAAGGTTGCGTTCCTAGTTGTGATTAGATCCGCCCACTGGGTCTCTGAGATTAGGGCATTTACCGCGGAACCACCCTCTGTGGTCTTCTACAAAGACAAGGTCCAGCTGTGGCCACACCCGGCTTTCCTGCCCAAGGTGGTCTCGTAGTTTCATGCGGGCCAGGACATTTATTTACCTGTCTTTTTCCAAAGCTGCATAAGTTGGAGGAGGAGCATCAGCTGCATTCCCTAGATGTCAGGAGGGCATTAGCCTTCTACATTGAAGGGACCAAGCCATTCCGCAAGTCGATGCAATTGTTTGTTGTGGTGGCTGACAGGACGAAAGGTTGTCCAGTGTCCGCTCAAAGAATTTCTTCTTGGATCACCGCCTGCATTCGCTGCTGCTACGATTAGGCAAAGGTGCTATGATGTTGCACTCTATATGATTTTATGGAAGTATGCTGATGAGTGTGAACATAATGTAACTAAAATATGCTTCATGCAAAAGGTCTCTTGTAAGGTATCATTACAAAGCTTATAATTTACTGAGTGTGGTCATCCTATTTGTATAAATGTATCACTCTTGTATCAGAAACTAGAAATATGAAATATAACTCTGAGGGCCTATTGTAATTATGCAAAGTGTGGGCCATTAATGGTGGTTTGGAATCTTGATGGCTCCCATCAACCAGGACAATTGACTGTAGATAGCTCTGTTTACTTGTAAGTCTTCCTGTATAGGTGTGTGCTGGCAAGTGGGTAATGAAGTCTTACAGTGACATGTGATCATGTCACCTGAACTGGAATCTATCTTTAACCTGGTGCTTTTCCATTGAGAAGGAGGGGGTGTCCAGAGAGGGACAAAGGATTCCCGCCTTATGCAAAAGATATATAAGTGGGTGGAATAGAACAAAGGGGGTGGCCATCATGAAAAATCCCATAGCTACCACCTGAACTGGAACAAGTGCTGTACCAGGGGAAAGGATTGTGCCCAGACTAGGAAGGCGTCCAGTCTGTGAAAGAAATTTATTGAAACATCCCTGGGGGTGAGATTTTATCTGTATTCAGTTTTATTACTGTACTAGGCTTAGACTTGTGTGTTTTATTTTATTCTGCTTGGTAATTCACTTTGTTCTGTCTGCTATTACTTGGAGCCACTTAAATCCTACTTTCTGTATTTAATACAATCACTTTTTACTTATTAATTGACCCAGAGTATGTATTAATACCTGGGGGGGGGGGGAAACAGCTGTGTATATCTCTCTATCAGTGTTATAGAGGGCGAACAATTTATAAGCTTTATACAGGGTAAAACAGATTTATTTGGGGTTTGGACCCCATTGGGAATTGGGCATCTGAGTGTTAAAGACAGGAACATTTCTTAAGCTGCTTTCAGTTTAAGCCTACAGCTGTTAGGGGACATGGTTCAGACCTGGGTCTGGGTTTGCAGCAGGCTAGCGGGTCTGGCTCAAACCAGGCTGGGCACTGAAGTTCCAAGCTGGGAGGGCAGGGAAAGCAGGGGCAGAAGTAGTCTTGGCACATCAGTTGGCAGCCCCAAGGGGGTTTCTGTGATCCAACCCATCACAGGTGCCACCTCTGGTGATTGTAACCACCCACTCGACCAGGGTGCAAGGCCTCTTCAGCAGCCTTTCTGGCCCAAGTGCCTATCCAGGTCATCTGTAGGGCAGCCACCTGGTTGTCTCTGCATATGTTCATGTCTAATTATGCACCTATCCAGCAGTCCTGGGATGATGCTGGCTTTGGTAGAGCAAGCCGCTAGACTGTGAACTTCGAGCCCACCTCCAGGGATACTGCTTGTGAGTCACCTAGAATGGAATCGATATGAGCAAGCACTCAAAGAAGAAAAAAACGTTTACCTACCTTTTTGTAACTGATTTTCTTCAAGATGTGTTGCTCATATCCATTCTATGACCTGCCCTCCTAGAAGGAACTGAGATGGCATAGATTCGGCAGTGCCTAATATACCAAAGCATGAGCTCAAGGGGGCGCCACAGCCGACCCAACAGATACCGCTAAGGCAAAAATCTCTGACAACTGTGCATGTGGGCGCACACACACCTAGCATAGAATGGACATGAGCAACACATCTCAAAGAACAACAATTACAAAAAGGTAGGTAACCGTTTTTTTATGATCAGCTCTGTCTTCGTCTCTCGTTTTTCCTAGATGATGTGTCTTTGTCCAAGTGCTGTGTCTATGAACCCACTCCCTGATGTGCTGTACTCCTAATAAACCCAAGCCATCTCATTTCACATTACGTGTGCTCCTGGAGCAGGGGAATAGAGTGGGCAATGTTTATATGACAACAGAAAGTTCTGCTCTTTGGCGTTTCTGGGAAATGGGATTTGTCTGAGATGGAAGCACAAACCATTTATTTTAATTTTGTATATGCACCGTTTGCTGTATAAACAGAGGGCTTACTTTTACAAATGATTTGTGGTTTGTTATTCCATTAGGATCTGATCCTGCATAATGCTGAGGGCTTCAGAGAGAGATGCTAAGTGACTTTGCAGCTCTCCAAAGTGCTCAATAGCTTCCAGAATCAGACTCTTAAAAATCAGTCCCCAGGGAGAAAATGAACATAAGGACTTGATTCTCCTCTTACTCCAGTCAGGAATGGGCCATTGGTAGGGAAATTCAGGATGAAATAAACAGGGAGCTCACATCCACTCCACCCTCCAGCAGTCCACTTCCATCTAAAACTACCCAGTAACATCTCAATGTGTCTAACCTGGGTGGATGCCCTAGCACTCTCCCAGTGCTAGCCAGTTCAGGCAGCTGGTTGGTCCTGGTGATTAGACATTTTCTTGGGTTCTATTGCTAGCTTCTTTTATAATGTTAGGAACCTCAGTTTCCCAAATTGACTCCCGTCTTTCCACTTTAAACTGGCAGTAGTAATATATCTCATAAGTAGTGCTGTAAGGCTTAATGAATTAACACTTGTAAAGCACTTTGAGGTTCTTTGGATCAAATGTTATCTGCAGTTCGGATGTCAGTTTATTCCACCAGATTTACTATTTGAACTACTGTAGCACCTTGCTTGAGGTCAGGGTCTCATGGTGCTGGTTGCACATAGGCATAGGAGGAGACAGCCTCTGTCCCAAAGAGTTTACAGTCTACCTGACAAGACAGAATTATTGACACCATTGTACAGATGGGAACTGAAGCAGAGAGACACTAAGTGAGTTTGCCTGCAGTCACAGAAGGGATCTTTGGCAGATTCAATAATTGAATTCAGTTCAATGTCTTAACCCCAGCTAGGGGTTGGATCTAGAGCAGGTTGGGATGAAAAAAAAAATTGGGGGGGGGAGGTGAGAAAGAGGGAGAGTTGGTCCAAAAAATGCTGATTCATCACATTTGAAACCATTCACAAAACAGGGTTGGGACTGATAAATTTCCTGACTTGAAAAAAAGTCAAGAAAAAAGATTCCAAGTTGTTGAAACATTTTGTTTTGACATTGTCACTAGGAAATATTCCAGTTTTTCAGTTCATAGAATCATAGAATCATAGAATC